CAACAATATCAGTCTTTGGGTCAATTATTTAGCATGCTGCTCCTGCCATAGTGGCAGGAGCCTCTAGTGGCAGCATTTTATGTGCATAGTAAGAGGACTGCAGGCCAGTCTATTTCTCTGTAGTGTGGCTTCAGGTGAGTTCAGGTTATGGGATCAAATAAGATTCGCTATGTCTTTATGTAGGTGGATATGTTGCGGTGTTGTGAGCCCAATATAAATATGCCACAAGTTTGAGCCACATTCCCAGGTCATCCATCTGCTTTTGTTTGAATTAATGTAAACACAACAGGCAGGGATTTTTGTCCTGGATGAGTGATATTTTATGCTAAGTAACTGCATTCTAGTTCCCATGTGTACCTTGGACATCGGAATTGGTAGTTCCCAGATCTAGACACATCTATGTTCTGGAACACAAGTGAGGCTACAAGATTAGCCTGTACACAGCACAGCAAGCGGGCATATAGGAAGTGCTAATTTAGCTGTGAGGTAGAGGGGCATGCCTTTAATCCCAGTATTTGAGTGGCTGAGGCAGTAGGATCTCACTGAATTCAAGGCCAAGATAGGCTCCAAAGCTACAGAAAAAAAAGGTTATCTAAAAAAAACCACAAAAAAGAAGGAAAATAAATCATAATTTACCCAGGTGGTGGTGGCTCACACAAGTGGTAAAATACTTTTCATGATTTATTAAAGCCACTGCAGATCAAAATAGCAAATCAACCATCCTAGTTATCCTTATGCCAGGCACTCCTTTAATCCCAGGACAGAGTAACACATTTCTCACCTTTAATCCCAGCACTAGTGAAGTATAAAAGGTAGAAGCAGGGACTTCAGTAGTCAGTCTTAGTATTATTCTGAAGCCACACAGAGGATAGGCAGCTGTCTGAAACTTGGTGAGAGCTGGTGGAGAGAGGATCAGTTCTTTCAGCCTGAGGTAAAGGTAAGAGGTAGTGGCTTAACTGCTTTCCTTCTCTGATTTTCACCTTAAGCTTGAACCCCATTAGTTTTCACTGGGTCTGTTATGTATCATGTGACACACACCATTAATCCAGGCACTAAGCAGATTGAGGGAGGCAGATCTCATACCACTATAATCAGCCAGAAGTATTACTAAGACTTCCACCTCAGCTCAGGGTTCATAATGAGTTCTGATATGCCTGAGTTACATAGAGAGAATTTATATGAAAATTACAAACATATTAATGTAAGGAAGAGAGAGTATCCTAGTGCTGTGAGTTTGGGGAGTAGTGTTATGGAGGCTTTTGGGACTTGACTACAGTCTAGCATTTCATGCTTTCCCACATCTGATTGACTCAAGCCGTGGATGTAAAAGACAAAGTAGTACTGCTTTGGGAGATGCCTTGTGATACAATCAGAAAGCTGCATTTGGTTGAGAGGTGGGCCTATGAAGGGAAGTTGTGATTGTAAATGGGCCTATAAGGGTTAACATGTACAGGCTAGGCACTGTTTTTTGGATCCTAAATGACTACCAGGATGTGCTGGGATTTGAAAACCTGTTATGTATGTCCTGAGCAGGCAATGTTTTCACCCCCCTTAAGATGACAAAACCTTACCCAGGTTCACCAGTCTCTTAGGTCAGCTTAGTGTTCCTGATTGTGTTGTTGTTTTCTTTGGTGTGGCTCTTCTGAAGCTGATAATTCCATTTAGCCAAGGCTAGCCTTGAAGTCCTCATATAGGTAATTGTTAAGATTAGTGAGACCTGGAGCTAAACTTCGGTGTCCTTTAAAAGATTGCTGAAAATGTTATATTCAAGAGCTAAGGCACATTGAGCAAGCACTGACCAACACCTCTGATTTTCCTTAAAGGTATTTAATTCAAAGTGACTATAGACTTATGAACTGCAGATGAAAAAAGTTCTAGAGAGCATAATTTGGCCATGAATCTCAGGAAAGTATGACAATTCCCAGTATTTGAACTCCTATAGAATTATTGGAAGCTTTTGTGGCTCCAGGTTCTAAAGTTTTCCAAATAATGGCTATTCTAACCATTTCTTACTTTCAGCCAACAAGTTCCATTGATTGAATCCCAAGCATACTTGGCAGAAGGAAATATCACTTTGCTCTTGAGGATCATGAGAGATATTTAAAGATGGTTGCCAACAAAAGAATCTGGTTCTCATTTCATTCTCCAATTTTTAATAACCCTGACCATTAGTATTTACTGGAACAGAGATTTTGATTGGTCAAATAACAGAGAGACTTGTTCCCAGAGGTCTTCATCTCCAAGATATCTTAGAGGGATTTATGGCTATGAGAAAGTCAGATAGGGATTAATACACAATACGTGATTTCAAGCTATTCTAGGTTAGTGAAAGAAAGCCTCCATGGCTTAGGCAAGGAAGGGGAAGTGGGGCATGACTAAATGGGTTTATTCTCTGCATCTTTCTATAGAACCTGTGTATAAGAAAGTCAGAATGAGTTCTCCATCGTCACTCAAGCTGCTGGCAATAAAAAGTCTGCTGAAAGATGAAGCCTTGTTTCTCTCTGCTCTGAAGACCTTCCCATGGCCCTTGCTCCCCTGCAACTCCAGAATACTACATAGGAACAGACACAAACCACATTAGTTGGAAGAACAGGCACAGCTCAAAAGGCATACCACCTGAAAGAACACATTACTTGGGGCAAAGACACAATTCAAACGAGTTGGAATAACAGATGAGTAAATGTGAGCATGATAATATATCCAACAAGCAAAAGAGCAATCAGAACCCAGATATGCTACAAGAGCAAAATCTGAACATTCCAGTACAGCTGAAATATAAGTAAATGACCTTAATAATAACTTTAAGAAGATGATAGGGGCTCTTAAACAGGAAATGAAAAATTGCCCTAAAGAAATCAAGTAAAGGACAGAAAATGTTGGAAGAAATCAATAAACCCATTAAAGAAAGCCAAGAAAAAAATTAAACAGATGAAAGAAATAGTTCAAGACTTAAAGTCTCAATTCTTAACTTCTATCCCTCAAATACAAAGGTATCAACATTTGTAAAAGAAACATTCTTAAGCTCAAATCACACATAGACCTCCACCCATTAATAGCAAGAGACCTAAACTCCAAACTCTAACCAATGGACATGTCTGCCAGACAGAAACTTAACAGAAAATAAGAGCTAAGAGATGTTGTGACTCAAATGGACTTAACAGACACCTGCAGAAGATTTCACCGAAACAAAAAAGAATATTTATTGTTCTCACCACATCATGGAATCTCCTTCATAACTGATGCATACCTGATCATAAAACAAATCTCAACAGATAGAAAGAAATTGAAATAGCACTTTTTATCTAATGGGACCACCATTTTTTAACGCTAGACTTCAACAACAACAGCATAAACTACAAAAAGCCTTCAACTCATGGAAAATGAACAACTCTCAACTGAACCACCATTGGATCAAGGAAGAAATAAAGACAGACATTAAAGTCTTCCTAGAATTTGATGCAAATGAATCCACATCACACCCAAAATTATGGGACATATTGAAAGCAGTTCTAAGAGGAACGTTCATAGCACTAAGTGCCCACATAAAGAGTTTGTAGATGCAGAGGTGGATGGGCTCAGTCCTGCCTCAATTGAAAGTGCCAGGCGTTGTTGAGTCCACACTGGAGTTCTTACTCTTTATGAGGAGTGGATGAGGGTAGGCTGGGTAGAGGTGGGGGGAAAGAAGAGGAGAGGAAGAGGGGATGTAGTTGCTATGTAAATAAAAAATAATAAACTATAAAAAATTGGAGTTTCTCACACTCGAGTTTAACAGCACACCTTAAATCCCTAGAAAGAAGCTCCCCAAGGGGAAGGAGATGGCCAGAAATAATCAAATTCAGTGCGGAAAGTAACAAAATTGAAAAACAGAGCACACTACAAACAATAAAAAATGGAGTTTGAATTGAGAAAATCAAAAAGATAGACAAACCTGTTACAAACTAATCAAAAAGCAGATAATATCCAAATTAACAAAATGAAAAGGGACATAAGAAGAGATCCTGGGGAAATCCAGAGAATCGAAAAGTCATATTTGAAAGACCAGTACGCCACAAAATTTCAATGAAATGAACAACATTCTTTTTTTGTATCCTGATCAGGTAAGCCATTCACTCCCATCAGATCACAAAACCTTACCCAGGATCACCAGACTCTTAGGTCAGCTTAGTATTCTTGATTTTGTTGTTGTTTTCTTTGGTGTGGCTCTTTTGAAACTGATAATTCCATTTAGCTGAGGCTAGCCTAGAAGAGCATATAAAGTCAAGTGTTATGATTAATGAGACCTGGAGCTAAACTTATGTGTCTTTTTATATATTGCTGAGGTTGTTATATTCAATGGCTAAGGCACATTTAGCAAGCACTGTCCAACAACTCTAATCTTCTTTAAAAGTATTTAATTCAAAGTGACTACAGACTTATTAAAGGCTGCTTAAAAAATTCTAGAGAACATCATTTTGCCATAAATCTGAGGAAAGCATCAAGATGACAATTCCCAGTATTCAAACTCCTAAAGAGTGGTCTGGAGCTTACTGTGGCTCCAGGTTCTAAAGATTTCCAATTAATGGCAATTCTACCCATTTCTTATATTCAGCCAACAAGTTCCACTGATAGAATGCCAAGCATACTTGCCTGAGGGAAATATCACTTTGCTCTTGAGATTCATGACAGATATTTAAAGATGGCTGCCAACAGAAGAATCTGGTTCTCATTTGATTCTCCAATTTCTCTTTATCCTGAGCAGTAGTATTCACTGGAACAGAGATTTTTATTGGTCAAATAACAGAGAGATTTGTTTCCAGCGGTGTTCATCTCCAAGTGATCTTAGAGGGATTTATGGCCATGAGAAAGTCAGAAAAGGATTAATGGACAATACGTGATTTCAGGCTATTCTAGACTAGTGACAGAAAGCCTCCATGGTTTAGGCAATGAAGGGGAAAAGGGGCATGCCCAAAAGGGTTTATTCTCTGCATCTTTCTATAGAACCTGTGTATATTAAGGTCAGGATGAGATCCCCATCCTCGCTCAAGCTGCTGGCCATAAGAAGTCTGCTGAAAGATGAAGCATTTGCTATCTCTGCTCTGAAGGCCCTGCCCATGGAACTCTTCCCACCCCTATTCCAAGGGGCCTTCGATGGCAAACAAACAAACATCCTGAGGGCCATGGTGGCAGCCTGGCCCTTCAGATGCCTTCCTGTGGGAGCCCTCATGAAGATTCCTGACCTGGAGATTATGCAGGCTGTGCTGGATGGCCTTGACCTGCTGATTAAGCAGAAGGATCGACAGAGGTAAGTGAGAAACTGGTAGCATGGAGGGAAGAGTGTGGGTAGTGGGTGGTGACTACAGAATTCAGAATGGGTTCAATTTGAATCAGAGCTTTCTTACAGAAGTGCATAAATGAATAGGGACGGTGTTTTGTGGAGCACACCTTAATAAATGTAGATACCTACAGTGACTCTACCTCTGCATCTTCTTCCCCTAGCCAATAGAAATGGTTTAAAGAATGGAATTAGGGAAGTCAATATGTAGGGTTTAGGCAGAGTGTACATAGCTAGTCCTGTCTGTCACTTGATTCTCTTTCTTGTTTGACCAACAGGAGTTGCAAACTAGAAGTGCTTGATCTTTGGGATGCAGAGAATAACTTCTGGCAGGTGTGGGCTGCAACAGAGGATGGTGTCTGCCCTCCAGATATCATTGGTGAGAGCCAACCAGCGATGCATCTTCCCATACGACAGGGAAATCAGGTTGTGACTGTGATGATGAACCTTTCCCTCCAGTCAGTGGATCTCTGTTTATTGCTAAAATATTTCCACTCGTGGGCCAAACAGAGGAAAGATGTGCTGCAGGTGATCTGTGAAAAGCTGGAGTTTGGGGCCCTCCCTGTCTATAAGCCCCTCATGCTGCTGGAGGTATTTGAGCCAAGGTCTATACAGGAGTTGGAACTGAATGCATGTTGGGACTTGCGAACCTTTGCAACGTTTGCCCCTGGCCTGGGCAAGATGAGAAACCTTCAGAAACTCCTTGTGAATAATATCTCCATTCCTTCAGAATGGTTTAGTAACATAGAGTTGAAAGAATGGTGTTTTACAGAGATCATTTCGCAGTTCTCCCAACTCAACAAGCTCCAGCAACTCTATTTGAATGGTGTCTTCTTCCTAAATGAAAGACTGGACCAAGTGCTCAGGTGAGGAGGATACAGAGCTCGCTCCTCATGGCATAGAGGAGCTTTTCCTTGTTACATGAAACATCAGTGCACACCTGAGGTTTCCCATTCATCCCCGAGTATATGACCTGAGGATGACCGATCTAGTCCTCTGTCTGCTAAACTAAGATCCGCGATGTATAAAATGTCTTTGCTAGGGACACAGATGAAGGGAAAGCAGATCTACAAAGGGAATGGCGTTTTATATCCCATGTTGCCCCATGTCAGCCCTGACCTCAGAACTCATGCACAGTTTATATCTGTCTTTGATTCTCCAAGGGGCAGGTGCGCTTTATGCACATGTAGGGCCTGAGTCAATGCAAATAGCCTTAGAGTGACTAGGGCCACAGTGAAGACCTGCAAGCAAAACAGGGGCTGTGTAAAGAAAGGGGGACTCATGGAGACCCATATTGGCACACTCAGGGATGGCTCTAAGTTCCCCTAGGTGGTCTTTCTTGGTTTGCCGATAATACCATTTGTAATCAGATTAGGTTTTGAACTGGACAGTGCAGAGGGTACAGATTTGGGAACAGTAACAGCCACAATGAGGGGCATGTGTTGTTATTTCTCCATCAGGGCCCATCCTGAGTGTGAACTTCACACTACTCTCAGAATGACCTTAGGAGTAACTAGCCCCTATTTCCTGGAATTCTTGCCCTTTCTCCACCACTATGAGACTTACTGAGGTAAATTCCTTTGTCTTTCTCTAGGTACTTGGAGAGTCCCTTAGAGACCCTAGCCATCACACGCTGCATGCTATCAGAATCAGACCTGAGGTATCTTACCCACTGTCCAAGCGTCCATCAACTCACGTATCTGGACCTGAGTGATGTCACCTTTCCAGATTTAAGTCTTGCACTTCTAGGAAGACTGCTAGAGAGACTGAGGGCTACACTGAAGACATTAAAATTGATGGGTTGTATGGGCATGGACTTCCAAATTGGTGTCCTCCTCCCTGCCCTGAGCCAGTGTTCCCAGCTGGAGGAGGTGAACTTCATGAGGAATTCCCTGTCTATGTCCATTCTTAAGAAGCTGATGCAGCACACTGCTAACCTGAGACTTCTGACCCTGGAGATGTACCCTGCCCCTGCTGAAGTCTATAATGTCATTGGTGATGTCATGCCAGACAGATTTGCCCAAGATTGTTCTGAGCTCTTGGAAACACTCAGAGTTGTAAGAGAGCCTAAAGAGATCTATTTTGTGAGTAGGAGATGTGTAGATTGCCAGGGATTCTATGTCTATAACCTGGAGGTCTCCCTATGCTCATGTTGGGAATAAATGATGAGTGAATACTCTTGGACTCTGAGAAATGAAAGCCAGGACTCAAGTGAATCATCAGAGACACAGAGGATGTCGATTCAAGGGATTTCAGACTCATTTGGAAACAATATGGTTTCATTGATTCAGACCCAGAGAGAGAAGTGTTGGCCTGGAGCATCAGTGCCTCTCCATCTGCTGAGCGCCAACAGTGAAGACCCGACCTCGAACAGGTTCACGAAGTTTGAAAATGGTAGGGATATTGTCTCAGCTCAACCAAGTGATGAGAGACCATAGACACAGTGAAGGGGAGAAAGGAAGGATAGTACAAAGAGCACAATTTACTGGAAGAGGTAGCTTCCATCTCTGTGTTTGTTAGGCCTCCATCTCTTCCTTGTCCACCTTACATAAAGATTTGTAATATATGCGCATATGTCTCTTTTATGAACAATAACTTGGACTGAAGTGTGAACTGCTGTTGAGCATACAGTACTCCCAGTACTCATGTTGATCTCTCTTCCCCTGGTTGGAGAGGGATGTAAGCTTGCTGTCATTTCCCCCATTATCCTTCCCACTACACTTTCCAGTAAGTTCAATAAAAACACTTTTTCATGAGAGAGTGTCTTGAATTCTTTAAATTTATTGAGGCAATTCATTGTCAATCTCATACTGCTTCATCACACTTACTCTGTTTTCCTAGTCTTGTATCCTCTTGTCTCTATGCCTTCTGAATCCTGGAAGTTCCAGTGAAAATAATGGCACACATGCCTTGCACTTAGAGATTTTCTGCACCTCAACTGCATATACCCTCTCTAGAAATCTAGAGAGAGTCCCTTGGAGAGATGGCTCAGATGGTAAGCGTGCTTACTGCTCCTTCTGGGGATCAGTGTTTGATTTCAGCAGCCAGATACACTTTGAACTGTTTCAGGTAATCTAAACTTTATACATGGTCTCTGGGAGCACTTGCAGTCATTTCCATCTACACACAAACAGCACACATGCCCTTTAATACACATAATTAATGACAATTAAAATCCAAATGAAAATATATTCATAGAATTAAATATGAAGACTGTCTGAAAGGTTGATATATCCACTGGACTTAACACATCAAAGTATGAAATAGCAAATTGCAGGTGTAACGATGATGCCCATGAGTGATCTACACAGTAGAGGATAAGGTAGAGGATAATGTATGTTTGTGCATAAAGGCTGTGGTACCAACTCAACGGTTTATACTTACCGTGTTTGAAGGAATCCCATCTCTATTTCATGTGGAAGGATGACTTCAGACACCTTTCTGTGAAAGGTTCCTTTTGATACACTTGAAAAATATCAGCATCTCCTAAAGAAAGCTCTTCTTGGTCTTTGCCATGTTAACTTCCGCAAGATAATAAACAGCCATGTTTTCAGGACAGGCCTTCTCTTTCATTTCTTATCCTGAGTGGGCCGTTGTTAACAATGGGAATGTCAAATGATTCTTCTCTCTCTGTCTCTCTGTCCCTATCTCTTTCCCTCTGTCTCTGTCTCTCTATGTCTCTCTCTCTCTCAGTGTCTCTGAACCCAGTATGTTTACCAGGATAATATTCAGAGTTTAGATTGTTTTTCCCCAGGACATTCTGGAGATCTCAGTAAGGTCTTTGTGCTTCTGTAGAAAACTTTCATCTGTTCCACCTAGAGATCCCCTACCATGAGTAGCTCTACCCTATTGTTGATTGCATTTCCGGGTTGCTGGTGTGTCTACTTCAGAGTGCACACAGTCCACCTCATCCCAGCATTTCTAAAACTATGTCTGTGGTCTTTTTCCTCTGTCCAGCACAGTGACCTAGTCTGTCTCAAAGCTGTGCATGCAGATAGATCCATGTTTATCGCCATGCACAAAACTTAAGTCCAAATGGATCAAAGACCTCAACATAAATCCAGCCACACTGAACCTCTTAGAAGACAAAGTGGGTGGTACCCTTGAACGAATTGGTACAGGAGACAGCTTCCTGAACATAACACCAGTAGCACAGACAGTGAGATCAACAATTAATAAATGGGACCTACTGAAACTGAGAAGCTTCTGTAAGGCAAAGGACACAGTCAGCAAGACAAAAAGGCAGCCCACAGAATGGGAAAAAATATTCACTAATCCCACATCTGACAGATGGTTGATCTCCAAAATTTACAAACAACTCAAGAAGCAAGGCTCCAAAACACCAAAGGACCCTATTAAAAAGTGGGCTGCAGAACTAAATAGAGAATTTTCAATAGAGGATCCTAAAATGGCTGAGAGGCACTTGAGAAAGTGCTCAACATCCTTAGCCATCTGGGAAATGCAAATCAAAACAACTCTGAGATACCATCTCACTCCTGTCAGAATGGCTAAAATCAAAAACACCAATGACAATTTATGCTGGAGAGGATGTGGTGAAAGAGGGACACTCCTCCATTGCTGGTGGGAGTGCCAACTGGTTCAGCCACTTTGGAAATCAGTATGGAGATTGCTCAGAAAAATGGGAATAAACCTACCACAAGACCCAGCAACTCCACTCTTAGGCATATATGCAAAAGATGCCAATTCATACAACAAAGATGTCTGCTCCACTATGTTCATAGCAGGTTTATTTGTAATAGCCAGAATTTGGAAGCAACCTAGATGCCCCTCAACTGAAGAGTGGATAGAGGAAATGTGGTACATTTACACAATGGAGTACTATTCAGCAGAAAAAATAATGGAATCATGAGATTCGCAGGCAAATGGATGACACTAGAAGAAACCATCCAGAGTGAGGTAACCCAGTCACAAAAAGAGAAACATGGCATGTACTCTCTCATGTATGGATTTTTGACATAGATCTGGGGAGTGCCAGCCTTCAATCCTGTGGACAGAGAGTCTGGGATACAGAAACTTCATTTAGTGGCTGATCGAAGAAGAGGCAGACTCCCTTGGTTAAGTACTGAGCTGAACTCAAGAAAGCCAGTAACAGAGACGGAGGGCTGATGATCAAAGTGATTAAGACTTGGCTGGTTTAACCCACAGAAATAGCTGACCAGACAAAGGTTAACTCTTGAAACCCAGGCATCAGCCTGGGAATCCAGCATGGGACTGATCAAGACCCCCTGAATCTGGGTGTCAGTGAGGAGGCCTAGGGAATCTATTGAGCCTTGGGCAGCAGATCAGTACCCATACCAAGTATACACACGGACTTTGGACTCCCATAGAACAATGTGAGGTGCACTCTCACCCTGAACTCTTGGGGAAGAGTCTTAGCCCTGCCCTATATGAAATAACAGACTATGGACACCCCAACGGTGGGCCTCACCCTCCCTTGGGTATGAATGAGGGGATAACGGGGGTTGGGGGGTTGGAGGGAGGGCACGGGAGGAGGGGAGGGATAGGGAGAGGGACCTGGAACTGACTTGTGAAGCAACCACGTTTCTTATCTAAATTTAAACTGTAAAATAAAATATAAAAAAAATCTTAGAAAAATGTGAATCATGATCAGTGTGCTGGTCACTGCTAAAATTCTTATACTAGGATGTATATTTTGTATCATTTTTATAATTTTATGTGCAAAATTTTTAATACTGAATATAAATAATCTATGACAGATCTTTAAAGGTATTAGTAATAGCTTTGAATACTATAGAAAGATTTCCTATATTGTAAAAACATATTTTGTTACATTGCTCCTCCTAAAAGCATGGTGTCAGTTTTCTGTGTGAAAGGGTATTTCAAATCAACAAATCCATAGTGATTAAACTGGTAGTATTTATTTCTTTCCTTTTAAAAATATATTTTGTATATATTTTAGTGAAAATAAATATATATCATAGCATAAAAAAAGAAAACCAAGTGTATTGGATCCCCAATCTCCCTGTCTATATTTAAACAGCTCTTGGACTCTTATTGTTATTCAAATGAATTTTTCCTTGACTTTGTCTCTGTCCATCCATCTGCTGTCCTGTTCATGGTATCATAAGCAAAGGACTTTCAATACAATGAGGACATGGCAGACAGTCTCTCCTATGAAAAAGGTTTGAGAACTTGCCCAAGAATTGTAATCCAGTATGTTCAGTTCAGTCATAATGTTGACTAATCAAATGAAAGTATAGAGCAAAGGCATAGGGGTCTAGGTACACTCTTTTTTTCCTTTCATACTTTCTTTTTGGATCTTGATTTTCTTCCTTTATTTAATTTGATTTCATTTTACATCCCAAACAGCATTCTTCCGGCCCATATCTACTTACCTCATCCTGCAACCCCTAGGCTCCTTCTACCATCCCTCTCTCCAACCTAGAAACTAACGTCTCTGTATGATTATGCAATGCATAAGTTAAAAATGAAAAATTTAAACGAAGCACAATCATACATGATGGACATATTGTTATTATTTTAAAACTATTTATTGATGGTTGATAATACTTGGTTTATATCTAAAAAAGTTGGTTGATAAGAGGACCATATACAAGACATAGAATAACGAATTAAACACAATACAATGGGAATTAAATTCAGACCGAGCAGCTTAATGAAGAACCAAGGTCAGCATTTCATCACAAGATTGAAGAGGAACAGTCTAACTCATAAAACAGACCAACATTAATATACCAAGTAACGAGTGAGGAAGTGATAACTGATAGAAGGTCTGTAAGAGCTAATTGGACACCTGGGTTGATGTTAGATTTCGAAATATTCAAGGGAAACATAGTGTTATAAGGCATGCATTCACAATTTGTGAAGCATTTAATGCACATGTCTTCAGTTTGGTCTAGAGTTTTTCCTACATATGGTATAGACTTGGGTAAAGCTGCTCTAGTGCTGCTCCACCATTACAATATGCTGCCTGCTTCAGAGAAGAGGCTAAGACTATTGTAGAAAGCTAGATGGCTAGAGCTATGGATGTCTACCAAGATCAACTTCTTCGAGCAGGAGATTCTGCTACTTTAGAAAGTTAATATCTATATTATGACCAAACCTTTACTTTATGACATGCAGCGGTGTAACAAAAAATAAATTGTTCAGAGTCTGATAATGGTTCAGACTACAAATTGTATATAAGAAAAGAAAAGTAGCCTGCACCTAGCTCTCAACTCTAGCCTGAGCAGAAATGACTGATTCACACACAAACTCTTCACCAAGTCTTAAAATGCTGCCTGTCCTCATTGTGCCTGGAGAATGAATGTCTCTATACTCAGTGTGGCTGGAGAAGGATTGCCTGTGGGAGACCTTGCCATAGTCTTAAATACTTGTCTAATGTAGGGATTCAAGGTGTGAGCTTTAATTCTCTTTTAACTGATTCACTCTTATGTAGAACTGTGTGGCCTTTTACTAACAGAAATCTCCTAATCCAGAGACCATGGATTAAAGGCATGTACCTACACCTCATAATTTCTGGCTCCTGGGATTA